CAATTTTGACATACTATGTATGTACCTATTTAAAATTAAACATAATTTTTTCTCATATTCTTCAGTCAGGACCTTCTCTATGCCAATACATTGAAATGAGAATTAAATGTAAAGTCTGTCCTGATTTTATATATATATAAATATATATATATACTTAAACCCTGTGATTAAAATGAATATTTTTACTAAATTGAGCTAAACCCGTAACTGAAGCCTAGAATATAAATGGAGTGTTGCATCTTTATTCAGCACCTTTGTTAATGCAGCAGTATTCTGCTTCCCAACTACAAGTACATGACAGACATACAGCAATTTATTTTACTCACAACCCAACCATCACCCTCTGTACATAAACCACATTTACAATAAAATCACTATGGATTTCATTAGCAGAAAGCCTACTCAAATTTCATTTCTTTGCCCCTAATCTATAATTAGTGTGGACAGACAGGTGCAAACCCTTCTCTTATACAGATGGCTACTGGAAATGGTGCAAAGTAGCTCCTTCTGTTTAAACAACACACAGATAACCTGCTCTGCTCTTATCACTTACAATTACCTCCATTATACTGAACTAATGTTTACTTTAATAACATGTCCACTGTTCTCTAAACACTATTTGGAAACTTTTATATCAATGGCAGAAAAAAATGAAGATGTAAGTCAATGTCTTTCAGATTAAAAGTAATCATTTTGTTTTGAAATTAAGTTCCTCTTTTTAAGGATAACTCTTACTTAATTTTTCATTTGATTTTACACCTGCTGGTCATTGTTTAACATGCAAAATCATAAGAGCTTTTTTTCTGAGAGCTTTATGCTTCCATATATTAAGCTAGACTAAGCCAGTATTAGGTAAACAAGAGCAGAATACCTATAGTTTTAAAACATGTCTTTAAACTGTAACATTTAATGTAAATAGTGCAAGCAGGATTATGTTAAAATTTAGTTTTGAAACTTGTATATTGTTGGTTGAACATTTAATCTCCCTAAACCTTTCATTTTATCAGATTTGTGAATATGAAAGGAGATTAAGAAATTTCAAAGGCTGTTCTTTTAAAAATTAGTTTACACTTTTTAATACTGATACTATTTTCAGTGCTAGTGCTTGTTTAAACTCTTACAAATATCTTTAGCTAGTTACTAATTAAAGGCTATGTGAAACATACAGGACATTAACTACATGTCTACAAGTTTTTGAATGAGCTAGATTTTAAAGGAATTCCCTCTACATGCCTTTAACCAAACCATGAGAATAATCTTTACACAACAGCATGTACGTGTTATTTCAGTTGATAAATTGTATGCAAAGATCAAGAAGCCTTAAGTTCCTACAAAACAAAGAAAAAGCTTTTTAAAAAAAATAAAATTGTGAACCCCCCCAAAACAACCTACCAATATACTTTTTTAATTAGCTAAAGATTTAACAGTAATTAACTGTAGCAAGTGGATTTGCAAGATGAAAATAACAATTGTAACTGCCTTCCCCCTCATCCTCACTGCAAATACTGCAGATGCCTATTTTTCCAAAGTGCCTGGCTATGAGGAGCTGTGCAGTCTGCATAGAACCTCAGTGAAGCAGGCTTTGCATTCAATGCCTGTCAGATGAAGTTCAGTTCAGAGAAGTGAGAAACAGGATTTGACAGGGAAGAATGTGTGGAACTGACTAGCCATTGACTGACCAGCACTCCAGGTGGAGCTTTTCCCCCCTCCCTCCAATAAACAATACTTTTAGCATCAAACTCCATGTACACACAGGCATACACAGAGCTAAGTATAGACAGATGAGACACAGTGTGATGACTTTGGCAAAAATTTGAGTCAACATTAAAGTGGTCAAAAATGGCAGAAGGCAATGTTTTACTTTAAAAAGATTTTGGAAAGTATTTAAAAGCTTGAAGCCTTTGAAGAAAAACAACTTGTGCAGCAGTTGCCAGCAAACAGTGACCTAACACTGCTGTCTGCATTCCATTACAAACAAAATGTTTTTTGTCTGTTAGACCATTCTAATAGTTTAGAAACAAAGTAGTGTTAGGTATTATTGAAAGCATTAAAGCTGAGCTCCATAAGGAGCACTGCTGTTTTAAATACTCCTTGTCTGGTTTCAGCTTGCCAGATATTGACAATTTTTTTACTTGTCCATTGTATAATTGAACTTTATATTGTGGTGAGGAAAAAAGCCTGATGCATGAACCAGAGTAACAATGATTACATTACAGGCTCAAACCTGATAAGCTGATCAGAAAAGTTCTCAATAATCAAATAAGATAGCTTCCTAATTAAAAGGCTTAATAGTGAGACTGCAAGATAGCTACATTATTTATATGACCTATTATACAATAGGCTGTTTATACTGTAAGGCATTTTCAGATAATTTTTCTTTGTACTTTTTTAAGTGGGAACCCCAGAAATACTTGGTGCTAAAAACAGAACATATAAACAAGGCAGCTGAACTTTAATAGTCACTCAAGCGCAAGGAAATTCCCCAATCATATTGGATTTCCTAAGGAAATCAGCCCGGAACAAACTGAATGAGTTTTCAGACTTCCACTGAAAAGGTCAAGCATCAGCTTTAACAACCATTAGAAACCAGTTTCACTATTACTCTGTTATCCAGATTCACTAGAACTGTTAATGCTAAGCCAGATCAGAAGATCGGGATAATAGAATTAAAAGCTACAAAAGTCTCTCATCTAGGTTAGGATAAACCTCTTGCCTCAAACTGTTTTTATTAATAATAACAAAACCGCTTATTTAAACTTTACACTGCATTCTGTCAGGATGTGGAACTGGAGGAGAAGGGGATACATCCTGCATACAGAAGTATTCAGAAAATGACATTCACCTCTAACATACTTTTTAGAAATACAATAATAATGTTTCTAGCTAGATATCAAAAGAAAAGATTTTTTTTAAAATTCCTTCAAAATGTGTGCAGGTGTTAAAATAAGTTTTAAAATAGTCAAAACAGATTAAAGTTAGTCCAAAAATGGGGAAAAAAATATATCCTGCTTTGGTCAGCAACTCAGACCACCATCAGTGGATAAATCAATTTGCAGCTGCTGTGGACAGCCATTTAAGTCTGGGGCCTGAACAGATTAATTAGGGGAAGTGATGTTAAAAGTGAAAGGGGTCAGAGTTACATTAAGTACATGAATTTTTCCTGGAGCAAACCCCTTGTACTACATTCCAGAATACATCCTCTAGTGAAGGGTATGCCTGTAACCTAATATTTGGCAAGGCAATTTCATTTTAAATATTTTTGCAGAAAATACAGTCTTTTCAGGTAGATTACTTTTAGGGAGTATATATCTAGCTTCACGCAAACATTGTAGATCATGCCAGACTAGTAGTGATTTTTTGCATCATGTATCTTTACTCTTAAAATATTAATAGGAGATTTAGTAATATTCAGAGGTATACCACTGTGTATTATGTACACATATTAAATATTTGCCATAACTTTAAAGTCCGTATACTACCAGAACAAATACAGTGTTTTCAATTTTGTCATATTTTACAATAGGAAACTTGACTAGTTTTTTATGGAAAATCTGTTATGTACTATTTTACTAGAATCCCACATTTGAATGACTTATGTACACAATCTGCATCTTTAGTTCTACATGAGAAGGATGAGCTGGCTAGAATAATAGGTCTTTTCCATATCTATATTTTATGATTCTATACAATTCAAAGACAGCAGATGAAAATGGACAGTCTCTGGGATTTTAATATACCCTTCATCTGCCAAGAAGATGGTATGATGCTGATCCTTGACAGGGTTGCTAAACGCTAGTAATAACCCTTCATGTTCTTAATATGATTCTAAAGCATTGAATGTTGATACTCCTTCGCCATTTAATCTGGGGATGTTCACCACTGCTGCAAATCGATTCATCCAGCGATAATAACTGGGACTCCGGACTAAAAATAGCTAGAGAGGAACTTTTTGGTGGGGGCGTATGAGGATGTTTTAATCTAACTTTACCTTCTCCCGCCCCTTGTTTAAACTTCTGACTAAGTTTAGAAGATAACGTTCTGCCTCTTTTTTGATGGAAAACATTTCAGTATGTATCACTGTTTTCCCCTTTGTTTCTTTATAAAATTCGGAATGACAGGAAGGTACAGTTTGTATGCATACATTTAACTGTCAATTACCATATAATAATAGAGTCGCCTTATCGGGGATGCCACAGTAAAGGTTGCAAGGCCCTTTCCAGACTAAACCATGTATTGGTCCCCTTAAAACTTTGTCGCTAGTGACGGGACTCGAACGCACCAAAAATCAAAGGCTCATCTAACAAATTCGCTTCTGGGTTCTGCATTCTTTGATCTCCCTTCTCGAAAGCTAAATAATGAATTACTGGAATCAAACTTTTTTGAATCAGATTCGAGATTATCAGCGTAAAACTGTGTTGCAACTTTAGAAATGCAACATATAATACTGCCGCATCGTTTTAGGAAGCGGATAGATTTTCAAGCTTGCCAAGCAGTTTAATACGATGTGCGCTCCTGAAATATTTCTTGCAAAACAGCCAGTAGTGATGTTGCCAACACTACATAATCCGACTATTGTAACGGGGGGGGGGGGGGAGAGAAATGACCCGAAATATTTCAGGCATTCCAGATCACACTGGCCAGCGCTGTGATCTTGCAAGAAAAAAAGCTGATTCTAAAACGAGACAAACAATATGGTACGGAAGATGACAATGAAACTTGCTTGAAATGCTAATTTCCCTGCAAGAGTGGGTGTTTTTTCCCCTGCACTCTGAAGAGTTATTAGTACAGAATTGTGCGCGGGGCTGTTGGTTTGTATATGCATGCAATTCTAACCCTGCAGCATCGCCCCGAGTGGGTTAGTTACAGCCGAGAGCCCCTTAGTTAGACCGATCCTAAAACCAGTCCTACAAGGAAGAGGAAAAGAACGGGGAGCCCGACTCCCTACCCCCATCCCCCCAGCGATCCGGGCCCGGGGCTGCACGCCCCTTCTCGGTACTTACACTGAAAAGGACCGGAGAGTCCCACCATTCGCCACAGGCTGTGAGCTGAAAATAAAAGTTCCCGTCCTCCTTGGGGGAGAGCCGCCAGCCCAGGCTGCTGGAGGGCAGAGGGAGTGGGAGAGGGGAATGCAGTGCAATGCAGCTTCCCTTCCAGTCCAGCTGATCCACGTCCACAAAAAGTCAAAACGAGCCGAAAAGGAACTCCAGCCGCTTGTCAAAGGGGGAGCAGTGCGAGAGAGACGACTGGGTCCAGGGGAAAGGAGCAAGAACCACAAATAAAACAAAGTAGATAATTAATGCCCAGGTCCCTTTCTGTTGCTGCTGCAGACAAATGTGATCTGGAGTATAGGGAATTGCTACTGTCAGTGGTGGTGTCTCTGTCTGTCTCTCTCTAAGACGGCGATGCATAGATTTGCAGGACTGCCTTGTGTCTGCCTTGGAAGAGAAGCTCCATGCAATGTCTGTGCAGATCCGCCCGCAGAAAGACTCCGCTGTGTCTGTGTCTCTCCCTCTGCTACCAGCCACCTCTAAAGTCAAACAGCATACTGCAAGCAGCCGGCCTGGCTCAGCTACCCAGGTGCAGGGGGGGAGGGCTTAAAGCAGTGGGAGGTGATAGAGGTAGGAGACATCTGTGTCGTGAGGAGGTTAGTGAGGGTCAAGTATATGTTAACAATAGGCGAGCACAGTCCCTCTTGGGCAGTCTGCCTACTCTTTCTTTCTTTCTCTCTCTTTTACTGGGTGGACATGTAACTTGCTCCCTAATGATGCCTTCCCAAGGCTGCCTGCTTTAAGAGTCCAGACTGCCCTGCAGTAACCCAAGACAAACACTTTCCCTAGCCATCTGGAGAGCTCCTGGCTTCTCTGCCTGTATCTCATCACTGTCTGAAGAGACAGCACTGCTAGAAATCAAGCCACTCTCAGATCTACTCTCTAATCCCCTTCTGTTAGCTGATTTTCAGTCAGACTATTTGCTTTCGCATTAGTTAATAGCCTTAGAGAAAACAATTATCATTCTCTTTTTCCCTTTGTTTTTCACTCCAGCAAGAGTACAGTATTGATGAAGGCCTCTTTCTCTTTTTAAGAAATATATGGTCTTTCATGTCTTGCAAAACCCATGTGCAACTTCACACAGGGAATTCTAGATTCTTCCAAGAGTAAAAAACATAATCATAACCAACTCAGCAGTGAAAATGAATTACAATATTCTACAATTAAGGAATACTAGAATATTAACAAAACATGAAGGTCAAATGTTGGATAAACATTTAAAAGAGCATGTATGAATTTGATGATGAATAAAATACTCAGCTTTTAATTAGCTGGGAAACAGTATTACAGTATGACTCAGACTACAAAATACTCTTATTTTTTATATCAATTTGACACTATTTGATGTACAGTGTTATTCCTACTGCATCTACACCTGTGGCCTGAATCAATACAAAGAAGACATGTCTGTGAAGCACACATCTTCTCAAGTGAAAAAATCCATGCAATTACTAGATAGGCTGAGACTGTTTTGCAATGTGTTTAAATTAGAATTGTTGTGACTATTTGGAAGTTTTATTTAACATCCTCCAAATGTCTAATGTTAAGTAAATGTGTTATAAAACCTGACAGAACACCTTGCCAATATGCAATATTTATTCCCATGTGCAGGAACTATGGCCCTTACACACATGCAAACACTTACAGACATGCTTAACTTTAAGCACATAAGTAGACCCACTGAAGTCAATTGAACTATTCACATGCTTAAAATTAAGCATGTGCATATCTCCAGGATTGAAGACTATGATTATTATTAGTTTGCTTCTGTGATTAGCTTTTAACATTCCATAGGTTTATAAAATATGTTTATGTTTATAGTCTGGAGAAATCTACCCTCTCCACTGATATAAAGAGGCCATGGCACTTTAATGGGCAGGTTGGTATTTGCTAATATGGGTTCAAATTCTACCTTGCTTTATACCCTGTTGTAGTCAGTTGAGTTTCATGGAGCATAAATCAGGATAGATCTTTCTCATTGTGATTTCAATTTACAAAAAAACTGAATTGTAAAAATCTAGCACTGTTTTCTAAGTTAAAATGATCATTTATTACAAACATCCCTTTCAAGTCAAAGATATTTGTAGACTTTTCCAGCAATAGTCTTTACATTTTAAATGCAATCTAAAAGTAGAAAAATGTTACACAGTATTTATTGTAACATTATCTGGTGAAAACAATACTTTTTTGGACATCTGTGATTTCCAGGCATTAGTTAAGCTTCACAATGCTTGTGATGTAGGTAAATACTTTCATCCCCATTTTGCATATGTGTGAACCGAGATGCAGATTAAGCAACTTGCCAAAGGTCACAGAGCAAGTCTGTGGCAGAGTTAAGAACTGAACCCTGACTCCCAGTTCATAACTTTAAAAAGTCACATCACTCCCTCCCTGTCAAATTTCATGCACATTCACTCTAAAAGATCAAAGTATTTAAATCTTTCAGCCACTTCCATATTAGAGGAAGGAGAAAGCAGAGGCCTGAGATTTATGATCTCCTCCTATCTCTACCAGCGACACAGTTAGCAATCTTGGTGCAAGTGACTTAACATTTCCAGACCTTGTGTTCCCATTTGTAAACAGAGGAGAATATTTACAGTTACCACCATTTAAAAAGTCAACACTAACCATTATTGAATATTAGAGAGACAAGGCAATGAGGTAATATCTTTTATTGGACCAACTTCTGTTGGTGAAAGAGACAAGCTTTTGAGTTTATACAGACCCGAAGAAGACGAGCTCTGTGTAAGCTCAAAAGCTTGTCTTTCACCAACAGCAGTTGGTCCAATAAAAGATATTACCTCACCCACCTTGACTGACACGGCTACAACAACACAGCAAACAAGTTATTGCATAGTATTTCTCAGTACTTAGATAGGGGAAAAGCCTGCTCACATAACCAGCGTATCAGAAATGGTAACTTCTTAACAGTGACCGCTATGCTTTCCTCAGAGTTGTGTTGTGAGAGTTAATCAATGTGCTTCTCAGATAAGAGTCTGCAAGTGTAAAGTATTATTATAATACTACAAAGCTAATGAGTGAAGTATGGTCTCTTTCCTACTATTATTGTCAAAACTTTCTCTTTTTACATACACTGCAGAAAGAAAGTGCATGTTGTGATACTGGAAGGATAAACATTTTATTTGAAAATTATTTAAGATTTCAAAAATATTGGATCTTTTTTCATAGTAAGCCCCGACACTGCAAACACTTAAGTGGGTGAATAACTTTACACACAGGAGATTTTTGCTACATGTTATGGTGAAAATGGCATGATTCATCTATGTGTATTACCATGTGATATTACATGAGAGAAAGGTAGATAAAAGTATAGCTGCACATGGAAATCAAACTGTGAAATGCCTCACTAGGCCTTAGGAGTATGACCAATTTTTGGCCATACATAAAATGATCATATGCTTACAGCTGAAATATGGTGTACTTTTTTTTAAAGAAAGTGTAGTTATCTTGCATGCAGTCTACAGCAGCAGCACTGAAATGCTCAGTATCAATGATATGTCAATACACATTTCACATGTCTATGCAGCTATCTATTGCTATCTAAAAAATATATACAGATATTTTCCTCTCACAATTGTCACCTCCCTCCAAATCTATTTAATAGTTAGTTAACTTCTGTTTACTATCCAAGTATTTAACAATTCTTTTTGCCAAATACAGTTAATTTAAAAACCAAAATGTTAAGACAGTTATGTGCTGTAACATGTATTTTCCACCATACACAAATTAAGTTTATAATAGGCATACACTTTTGGTGAATTTGTTTCTTCATTGCAGTGCACTCTACTTCAAAAAAAGCTCAGTTTAGCTCCCACTTAAATGCATTGGAATTTTGACATTCATTTCAATGTGAGTAGGATTGGGCCCAGAGTGTATGTATCATGGGTTACTATAGTTGGTATGACAAGTACTCATTTTGATTAAGTATCATAGTAAATGGTCTAGTCAAAACGTTAAGCTAGACTCTTGATAGCTTTAACTTATGAACCTTTCCCTTAGTCACATTTTTCAATTTTTCCTCTAATTTACAAGTGTATTTTATATGTTAGGGTAGGCCACATTTCATTTTCATTTCATTCAGTTCTAGCACCTTTTGTAGGTCAGACATTACAGAGAAAGGGAGACAGCTATATTATTTTCAATAACGTTTATATATACTTTCTTTGGAAAATCCTATACAATCTCTCTACAATATGAACTACCGTACGTCCTCCCTGATCATTGCATGGAAATGAGGCAGAGACATTGTCTGGTACATCCTGTGCTACACAAATCTTGCCAGCTAGGCCAGGATTCCACCAAGAGAGCTGAGGCAAAGAAATGCACTGCTGCAGACTGGGGGCCGACTGGCTAAGTGGCAGTTCTCCAGAAAAGACCTTGGGATTACAGTGTACAAGAAACTGGATATGAGTCATATTGGGCTGCATTAGTAGGAGCATTGTCAGCAGATTGAGGGAAGTGATTATTCCCCTCTATTCGGCACTGGTGAGGCCACATCTGGAGTATTGCATCCAGTTTTGGGCCGCCCACTACAGAAAGGATGTGGACAAATTGGAGAGAGGCCAGTGGAGGGCAATGAAAATGATTAGGGGCTGGAGCACATGACTTATGAAAAGAGGCTGAGGGAACTGGGCTTATTTAGTCTGCAGAAGAGAAGAGTGAGGGGGGGATTTGATAGTAGCCTTCAACTACCTGAAGGGCGAGGGGGTTCCAAAGAGGATGGAGCTCGGCTGTTCTCAGTGGTGGCAGATGGCAGAACAAGAAGCAATGGTCTCAAGTTTCAGTGGGGTTGGTCTAGGTTGGATATTAGGAAAAACTGTTTCACAAGGAGGGTGGTGAAGCACTGGAATGGGTTACCTAGGGAGGTGGTGGAATCTTCATCCTTAAAGGTTTTTAAGGCCTGGCTTGACAAAGCCCTGGCGGAGATGATTTTGTTGGGTTCTGCTTTGAGCAGGGGGTTGGACTAAGGTCTCTTCCAACCCTAATCTTCTATGATTCTATGAACTATTGTATGCACTGCTTTTCCAATGAGCAGGGATAAAATGCCCTCTAACCAGTGCTTACTGATAACAGCAGAAGATGTGCACTGGCTGGATCGACAGCCTCCCCCCTAATCTGAAAAGCATGCCCACTTGTACATGCTGCAAGGGTTGATGTTACTTGGACATCTCTCTATTCAGATCTTTACTGTTTGCTTCTGAGGATGCCTGAAACATGTTAGGCAAATTCCAAACAGAAAGAAGACACAGTACCTACCTTCAGGAGCTTGTAAGTTCCACTGACGTACATTTTTACACTCTTCTTCTTGCACAGCAGATTTTTAGCCATATGTGTGTGTTTGTAGTGAATTCCATTTTTTACTCAGATACTAACTAGAATGTCTATATTGGAGCATTTCTACATCTTCGTTAGCCTCTTAGCAATATTAATAAACTTAAGAACATAAGAATGGCTATAGTGGGTCAGACCAATGGTTCATCTCGCCCAGTATCCGGTCTTCCGATAGTGACCAGTGCCAGCTGCTTCAGAGAGAATGAACCGAACTGGGCAATTCTGAATGATCCATCCCCTGTCATCCAGTCACAGTTTCTAGCAGTTGGAGATTTAGGGACACCTGGAGCATGGGACTGTGTCCCTGACCTTCTGGGCTAACAACTTTCTTTTATATAGAGCATTTCATCTTGAAGGTCTCCAAAGCACTTTGTAGACTA